GGTTTAAAAGTTTCCCAAAATTTGTAAGTTTATCTAATTGAGCTGGTTTAGCCCACTATAATCTATCCAATTTTAAAACCATTGCAATAAAAAACAGATTTTGGGGTTTCTTTTTGTGCCAATCTGATTAAATTCTGATCTCCACTGTCCTACATGAAGATCTGGTAGTGACCACTTAGGGGTCATGTTTTGGTGACCAAATGTTATTAACATAACTTTATCAGCCAATCAGATACAGTCTTTATATCTGTATGTTTGGGAGAGAGATTAGTATGGCTGAAAAGCATCAAGTTTGCCAAATGATTTTATTCACTTTCAAATTTCTGAAAGCTGCATTTCCATTGACTAAATAAATTGTCACCAGAACATGACAGCTAAGCAGTCAGTCAGATCTTCATGTATGACCGTAGAGATCTGATTCTAATCTGAATGTTTCTTGACCTAAATGGGATGGGCTGAACATCACCTGTGGACAGTCTTAGTCACAGTAGCTATAGTCACAAGATTTTGGGAAAATATTTAGTGATTCTTGACAATATATAAATTTTAATATTTCATATGGAGACTAAAAATAATAGGTTTATAAAATGATGAAATAATCCTTTATACTTGATTATGAAAAATTATAGTCAATATATAGAGTTATGTCAGCATATGTTGCAGTAGAAGTATACCCAAGTCATGTTATTCCTAACTGGATAATGTAGTATACATTAGCAAACACTATAGATTTCATTTACTAATTCTACATTATTTTGTCCAATTACAGCTTAAAAATCCATGTCAACAATTGGAACAGTTTGAAATTCACTTTTAAGCCTTTTCTCCATTCATAATTAAATAATTTATATTACAACTGGTTGTATCCAATACTGAAATTTGGAAAGATTGTACATCAATCTTTTCTTGGTTTTTAATTGAAAAGGTCAAGAAATGCAATGTACTGTAAAGCATAATAAAGTACAATACTACCATAGTACAGCTGTTTGTAAATCAAAAGTTTTATTTTTGACTAGGACTACAAATATTTATATTTTACAAGAAAGTGTCATTTATACACATTATCATAAATATATATCTGGTATCAATGATAACACAGCAGTGTTTCCAGTGATGTCATCTTCTTCATGTAAGCTGTAGTCCTAACCCTAAGCCTTTTGAAATTTGCATTTAAAAAATGAACAGTCAGCAGAATTATGAATATTTTCAAGTGAATTTTCTAGACACCAGGCTTAGATTATGAAGGTTAACATTCAAATGCATGGCAGTCATAGGCTCACAATGTAATAGTATGGACACAACAACAATTATATTAGTATATACTATATGACACTTTTCACAAACCTGAGTACTTAATATTCATACTGAGAGCAATCTCATCTATATGAAAACATTATTTAACTGTTAAATTCATTCACATCATATGAAAACATTATTTAACTGTTAAATTCATTCACATCATATGAAAGCATTATTTAACTGTTAAATCCATTCACATCCTATGAAAACATTATTTAACTGTTAAATCCACCCACCTCTAATATAAACAGTATTTAACTGTTAAATCCACTCACCTCTAATGAAAACAGTATTTCATTGATAAATCTATTAACTTTTACTGGACATAAGAGTCAATACTAAAATGTTTTCTCCATGACTCTGATGTAACTGCATTACAAAAGCCAGGACCATGTCACTTCAACACAACAGACCATAAAGCCAGGTCATGGCTAGACTACTTGTTCACACTAACTGTGACACAACCAGAATAGTGACTGATGTGCCACCAAATACATGTGTCTCTGGTCAGACACTGAAATATCTATTACAGCCATTCACTAATTCAACATAAGACACAAGCAAGGACAGGCAAAAAACTATCAAATAATGTACACACACACCTGCAATAAAAAAGTCTATTTCTCACCACCCACTTCCCAACATCTGGCCATGACAAGTAATTAAATTTTGTCATTCTGTGACACAAATACTGAATTAAAGTAAAAACATATCACAGACAATTCAAATTTTTATACAGAAAGTCCCTGATTTTTAGGGTTCACTTTCACTCATCTGACTGAAATGGTTCAGTCAATTTAATACAATGAATACAATTTCACTGACACAGAAAGCTTAAGCTTTGTAAAAATTAGACTATGTTAAACATGCACATGCCTGAAAACATGCATGCCTAATATATTTTTGGTCCGCCTTTAATGAGTTTTGCTAAGATGTGCTAAACAGGTAATGCTCCTGAATGTTAAAAAGTATTAAAAAACAACACAACTGTTATAATGGAATGAAAATTGAAACTAAATAATACATAGAAACTGAAATATGTTTATCAACCTTAATTTGTATAGTTCAAGTGCATTTTGTTTAATCAGGCTAAAAAATTTAAATATAAAAAAATCTAGGTCACAAAACTTTAATTAAAAAAGTCTAGGTCCAAAAAATTTATTAAAAAAATCCATAAAAATATACTAAAATGATTTTAAAATCAAATCCAATCATGCAAATATTCAACCAAATTTAATTTTTCTAAACCCAGTAGTTTCCTCTTCAATGTGCTTTTAATGTTTTCGTCACATTTACAAATGTGTTAAAAAAAGCAAACAATAAGATCAGTTACCAAAACCTATCAAGATCATGGGTTCAAGTAGAGGTATACAAATATTAAATTAGTTTGGTTTTGCTCAATACATCTTTATTGATAACTCTCTTGCTTCAAAGTGTATATAATGGACATACATACAAAAGGCTTCCCTCCCTTGGAAGGTAGACTCATCTACCTATATTGTACACTACTGTTAAAAATGCCAAATACAATAGGTCCTGTTTGAACATACTTACATATTTACTTTGAATAAACAAACATTTTGTCCATAATGACCGGTGGCAATCAAATGTGTAGCCATTATACACTGCTTTGACCATGGAGGAAGGTCCAAGCCGTGAATATTTATATTTAACATCAGAAATATATCCATAACAGTAGAGATCTAAATGTTATGGTATTCATCTTTGGCACGAAGCATGATAATACAATTGATAAATAAAAATACACATTTTGTAAAACAAAGATGATATGGATACCACTCCTATCTTTATAGACCAATGAAGGTTACTCACATTATGCTATATAAATGCATCAGTTATCTCTGCCACAAAGGTCTATCCAAAAAAGCTAAGACAGCTAAAGACTACAAAAAAGCAAAATATGTATGATCCCAACATTAGGAATATTATGTGCCTACCAGCAATGTACTTACTTTTTCTGGTATATAAAGATCATGTTTATTTGCTCTAAAATATTTCAGTGTCTCACCCCTTTTTTGAGAACAAAATGTCATGCAACTTCTAAGAACCAACTCTGAGGATTCAGATGAATACCATTCAAATATCAATGAAATGCAGCTTCATATTCCATTTATTAACATTACAATAATCCAACTTTATTTCCAGCCATTCTGTCATAACAATGAACCTGTCATTGTATAATGTTCTTAATTTTGCGATTTATGGGCCTAGTCACTGTCAAAACAGCAAAGAAAATTAAATCTATACTATGAATATAATTTTATAAAAGATATTTTTATAACCAGAATAAATTTTATGCATTTTTAAAGAAAACATTTTTGTATAAAATGCTTGCATACTTTCATCCACTGACTGAATTGCTCAGCTGACTGATATATACACTATTACAGCAGTTTTTGCATTACAATAGTGGCAACTATTGTCTTACTGTTAACTAGTATGTTGCATACAGATTTCAACAAATTATATTGCTTGCTAAGGAGTCAATATAAATGCTTATGTAGGTATGGACAGTTTCCAAATTGTTTATTTGCTAAGGAGTCAATATAAATGCCTATGTAGGTATATAAGTTTCCAAATTGTGTTTTGCTAAGGAGTGAACATAAATTCCTATGTAGGTATGGAAAGTTTCCAAATTGTGTTTTGCTAAGTGGTGTAGTGCTTGTTACAATGCATCCCATGTATCAAGTTAGAACACTCTACAGTAACAGTGTATAAGAAACATAATAATGCAAACAGAAAGATTAATGCAGATTACTGCAGCAAGGAATATAGGTTATAATGTGATGTGATGTGAATAAGAATTTTAATTTTAGCTTCAATTTTTCTGTCATATCACTACAATGTCTGCAGTGTGGCAGTTTATAGAGATGTCTAGCACATGGACATCATGCTGCAGACATGTCCCACCCAGTCACATTATCCTGACAACAGACCAACCAGTCCTAGCACTAATGTCTTAATGCTGAGTGACAAGCTTGGCAGCTGTTAGTACCATTTTTATAAGTCTATGGTATGACTTGGCCAGGGATCAAACCCATGACCTACTGCATCCTAGGTAGATGCTCTAACCACTAGGCCACATGAGTAGAGATTTCATTATAACATACACATAATATAATCACACTACCATTGAAACATTGAAAATATTTAATGATTTGTTTATCAGTAACTGTATTAAAATATTAAACAATTAAACAAAATATTAAAACATTATTTGTTTAATTCTTGAACTAGTAAATAAACATTTTTTTCATTCTAACCTTAGAAAATTTTGCAAATATTAATCAACGTAAATATGTCATTTAAAGATCAAATCTATTAAAGCTTGATTTTAGAAAAGAGATCTTATTATAATAATACACATATAATATAATCACACTTCCATATAACAAGAGATCACAAAATCATTTAAAATCAGCATTAAATTTTGTGTTCTTGAATGGATGTGATGTGATTATGATTTTTAACGTAGCTTTAAAAACTTTTCAGTCATATCACTATGATGTCTGCATTGTGGCAGTTTATAGTGATGTCTAGCACTGGGGGCATCATGCCACAGACATGTATCATGATGTCCCACCCAGTCACAATATCCCGACACCAGGCCGACTAGTCCTAACACTTACCTCTTAATGCTGAGTGCCAAGCGAGAAAGCTGTAAGAACCATTTTTGTAAGTCTTTGGTATGACTCGACCGGGGATCGAACCCACAACCTTTCACATCTGAGGTGGATGTTCTAACCACTAGGCCACCAGAGAGGTTGTTCTTGAATGGTATTAAATTGACTAAATTGGAAACTGACAACTAAAGTGCTTTAATTGTCCAAACACGTTTTGCTAATTGATTGTCCTGCTAATTGATTGTCCGGTGTTTTACTGATTATAAGTTATCATTCTATTTTGTACTTGACTTTGTCCAAAATCAAGTTCACTATGTTTTAGACTTGTTGTTGTTTTGGGGCTTAACGCCATTTTTCAGCACATGATAGGCTACAAGGCCGCCAGTATTATTAATGGAGGAAGAAACTGGGAAATTCGCAGAAAGAATCACAGATGTGAGAGGGCAGTGATCTGTAATGGAGAGCACTTTAGACCACTTGGGGCTTCTGTTTTAGACTAGAGGGACTGATTATGTTTTTATATTGGTGAACAAAAACTACATAGCTAATATTTTGTTTAGGAGTCTGGGTTTACTATTAGGATCCATATCAATAGAAGTAAACATATCTATAAGGTTCTGGGATATTGGAATTCCTCCATAAATATATCTAGCCTACCTGATATTTAAACAAGGCTCATTAAATCATGCTAGAAAGTTATTTTCAGTTGAATTCAAATGATTATTTTCTCTGAATTCTAGGATAAATTCATTCAATTTATAATGAATTCAAACCTGGAATAGAATTTCTTTGATTCAACAAGAGACTGCTGACACATCAGTACAACACATCTCTTTGGGACTTGAACTGAATTTTCTTCTGGACTTCCTATTACTAGGATTTGTGTCTTTAATTCATGGATTATGTTTGGATTTAATTTGCAAAACTGCAAATTCTTTATTCTCATTTTTTACTCTGAATTCTATGAAAATAATTTTTTTTATTCTTTCACCAGTTTTTCTTGTTTCCAATTCAAATAGCATTTGTTTTTCTTACATTTAAGTTCAGATAACAAAAAGAGGCTTGCTAAATATTAATAATTGCTTTAAGAGAATGTTGAGATCCATCAAGAATATAAGCATCAGTATACTGACCTAATTTACTCTCACTGACATCTAAGATGATTCTCCATGATCTACATTTTGCTTCAAAAATAAAAAAAGCTAAACTTTCATAAACAAATACTTAGATGCAAATCAAACCCCTTAATGACACCTTTTTCCAAGACATATTTCCTTTATTTATTTATAACAGCATTTAGACAAAACAGCTGAAGCCATTTACAAACTGAATCACACAAGTCAAAAGATTGTAAAACTTTTACAAAAAGTTCCAATTAATTGAGTCGAATAATAAGCCATTTCTATTTTCTTTCTCTGGTTGATCCAAAATATCATATAATAGCCTGGTATTTTCTCCAATAAATCTGACTTTCATAAATCCAAAGTATATCCATAATTTATTGGTCAGCATAGAAATCCCCACAATAATAATCTTGCAAAAGAATTTAGAGAACTCTTTCCATACATCAACCTGAGCCAGTACTTTTCCACATGTTTTAGAGACATGCAGTACTCATTATTAAAGCAGACCACTGCACAATTATCTTTAAAAAACATCTTTTTTTAAAATTCTTCAATATCATTAAGATCAAGCGAAACAATTCTACTATTATGCAATTTAATATAGAACTGTTTTGGAGCTCCTGAGATATCTAATTGGTCTGATATATTTTTGTCACGTCATCTAAAATGATTTCCTTTATTGTCTTTTTTAACACAATTCCTTTTTTCAACATTTAAAAAGTATTTCATGCTTTATTCTCCCATCTCATACCATTGAGCTTGGGATTTACTAGAACACCATCTATATATTTTGTCCTAGATTCCTCTTGTTCTGCTTTTTTTTCCTAAATTTTCCAGAGCTTTCCCATCTACAATATGTAATCAAACAATCTTATGAATTTCTAATATTTCCTGTTCAATGTTCTTTAATTTGTCTCATTTTTCTTTTGTTTTCCTAACAGAATCATCATAGTTACAGACATTATTTTCATTTGCAAAAGATTATTTATCATTACAGAAAAAATAAACAGGAAGAGAGTCCTCTTTATTTCCCATATGTAATATACATTTACAATGTCATTTGTACACTTTTTGACCAAGTTAATATAATTAGTTAGTATCCCTCAACAGCTGAGCATTCCAATATCCTTTTCCCCTGAAAAAGTGACACAATAAAAGTTGAACTGGTAAGATAACTGCATTCATTTATTTTAATATCATCTGATACAAGAAAGTAATCTATTTCATTTCAAAGGATGTTTTGCCTAAAGTTATACTTCTTTAAGACTTCAATGGAATTTCTCAACCAGTAGATTTATTTTAGTTTTGGATTTTGATTGCTGTTCTAGACTGTTGGTGTTTGTCATGTAAAATATTTTAAGTATCCTTTTCTCTTTTAAACAGCATTTCAATCTCCACACATCTGAGTTCTCAAATGCTAACATTTCTTCTTTTAGAGTTCTAAAAAAGCTAGGGTTACCATCATCAGAAGTCTCGGAAATGCCTATTTGAATGCAATTTTTTTGTCTGTGACACAGAAAATCACTTTGGCAGTGTCATCTACACATTTAATAGGTGGGTAGCAAATTTTAAAAACTTGCCAGTCCTGTTTCAGCCGTCTGCTTAGTGAGAAAATGTGTCGATCAATTAGCTGTGATATTTACAATGACATATTGATGTACATGTTGCCACTATATTAGTCAATCAAAAGAATATGATGCAAGAGCTGGGTGGCATGTTCAAAGACTGACTGGCTGCTTGGTGGGAAAATGTGTTGAAATTTAACAGTGATTAAATTCATAGGCAGAAATTTCCTGAGATTGGTTGTTTATACGAGTACATCATATAAATAATTTTAGACTTCACTATTGTTCTCATTTCCGAGTGTAGTTATATAAGTAGCACTCGTAACTTTGGAATCATGACATGCTGAGACTTCGACAAAATGCCATTTGCAAATTTGGATAGCATTCTGGAGTTAAATGGCAAATTGATGAAGATTATGATGAGAAGACTGCTAAAGTTGCTATGACTGATAGTTTGGATGGAACAGTAGTCAAGTGTAAGAAAATGTCATGCCTGGCCTAGATTTTGGACCAAGACCATTCCTTTGATTGACAAAATTCAGTCTCACTCCGATCATCAAACAATAGCAAGGTTATAAAGAATGTAAAAATTAAATCAGTTCGTCTAATCTGCAAAAATATTTCTGTAAACAGACTGCAACTTTTGCTGGTGGGACTCCAACATTTCCCAAAAGGGGAGTCCTGGACTCCAAGTTTTAAAATCCTTGCGAAACCTCTTATCAGTATACCTATATAAATTTATAAGCATTGTTCTATTTCCAATAATTATAACATCTAACATAACAAATCTCCCTTGATTGTCAGATCTTTCTCTATGGATCATAAATTCAAAATGATTTCTAAAGAATACTGATTTTTCAGCATTATATATGGCTACCTATAAATATGCATCCTCATTCAGCAGCATAATATTTTTCATCAGTCTTTGAACTATGAGTTTTTTGCATAGATACATTCTCGTGTTTTACCCATTGGAAAATGTCCTTTCACTATAAAACTAAACCTTGCAAGCCTCTAACATTCATAGATAACATTTTTGTAAATACATCCGAAATTCATCCGAAATTTTATAGGTACACAAATCTTGTGCAGAAATATATATTATCATGGCACTCACACAGTACAAACATAAAACCAACCATGGTACACCACTCCCTAGAAAACTCGCGCACAACGGGGTCCAAAAACATTGACCACGTTAAGCGATGGTGTGACCTATAACAAACAACAAAACAAATAAACGGATCGACGTACACAGGCAAAAGGGGTGGGTGGGTTGGTTTTGCATGTTAGTGTTGAATACTCAATAATTGTGCTATGATTAACTATGATTAAATATTTCTTCATAGCGGTGTTTTTTGTTTACTTTTGTCATCACAGAGTAACATTAATTTCAGGATAACTTACAAGATATTGAGGAGATCATCAAAACAATAATCCACATGTTTTCCATTGGCTTAACACATGCATGATTTTGCACATTGTGTACTGCGTCACAAATGATTGTGTTGAATTGGATAAATTCTTGTTTGATCTAAAGTAGATTTTTTATACACAAGATCGACACCCATTTAAAAAAAACCACAATGTCCATCAAATGACAGGTCAATTTGATTGCAGTATAAGTACAATGAATTTTTTTTACAAGGGTTAGTCATTACCAACATCAATTTAATGGGTCTACAAATTTAAAAAAACGTAAATTAGAACACGATAATACTTGCAGTTTGTGACACGTTTGACAAATATCACTTCACATTTTCAAAACATCTGCTCATTTTTTTTTTACTTTTTGATTTCTCTGCCACCTCTGGTATTGGTCACGGGCGATTTTCTCTCTGAGCTGGATTGGATAATTACATGCGGCTTCCTAATTCGCTGAGCGCATTTCTCCTGACAATGAATTTTGTTTAATTCTATGTTGGCGCTGGAATCTCCAAAAGTGATAAAAAATATTTTTAAAATATCACATAAAAATGTGAAACCATTTTCGACTGGTCAAATAAAATGAATTTTGTGAACGGTAATGACCTCAAGAACTTATGCTGCTATTGGCATGCTACCTTTGATTTTTTTTATTATACTTCACTTGCTTGATTTGATACAAAAGACATATTCAAAGTGATAAAACAACACCAGTGTCTTTTGATTGATTTTTGTTTAATGCAAAAAACACTTCCCCGAGCTGTTGATCAAAACAAAGCCGGCATTTATTTAGGTTCTCACAGAAGTACTCACAGGTTTTGAGGTGACGGACGATTGACTTTTTTCATGTTGTCATAGAAGAGAATATGTTGCAATTCTAGTGTTTACACTGAAGCGAAATTAAAGGATTAGAATGTGAATTTCACTTAGCAAGACATTTAAGTGGTGTTTATTTTATTATCTTAGCATAATATTTCGTTGATCCTGTTTCGCCAGAATGATTATTTACAGAGTATTAACAACTT